CCACCGGGAGACTGTGAAGGGGAGGGCGTGGTGTGAGTGGTATTCTTTAAAAAATCATTTTTTTAAGCAATGGTATAAATAGAAAACAAGAAGGAAGTCAAGCCATTTGCAATTTCCAGATCTACACAGACTATGAGAAATTTTTTCGAATGTCTGTTTTCTGTAAGATCTATCTTACCAATAATCATATTATGTAAATGTATTCCAATACATTGAGAAGACAGGTTAAAAAAAAAAGATTGGCAAAGGGTATATCACGCAAGCACTAAATAAACATAAGAAAGTGGAATTTACTATGTTACACAAAGTGAATTTCAGGAAGAAATATTACTAGAGATTTTAAAAAGTGCATTTGAAATGCAAAGGGTTAATTCATTTAAATTGCTACTGAGCATGTGCACTCTCCGGAGAGACAAAGAGAGAAAGAGAGAAAGTGAGAAATCCCCCCGGGGGAGGGGTGTTGGATGGCCACACCACAATCCCCACTCCTCCATTTTCCTCTCAGGTTAGGGCGCTGGGACCACACAGCCAGCCATGGGGGCCTAGCTGCCTTAACCCCAGGCCATCTGCTGGCCCAGAGGGGTTTCTCTTTTTTTTCTTTTTTCTTTCCTCTTTTCTCTTCTTTTTCTCTTTTCTCTTCTTTTTCCTTCTTTTCTTTTCTCTTCTGTTCTTGTCTCTTGTTCCCTCCTCTTTTTTCCTTTCTTTTCTTTTTTCTTTTCTTTAAGTTAAGACATGAGCCAGACTGTGGCCTAATGGTTAAGGCAGCTGGATTCCACATGGCTGACCACACAATTGAAATCTCAACCCGGTGGCTTGAAAACCACACTGAGTGTATGTGTATGCCCAAAATCCCACAGGGAGAAATGGAGGAAGAGGGATGGTGGCATGATCATTCCCCATGAGGGTGAAAGGGGTTGTTTTCTCACTTTTCCTCTCTCCATCTATCTGTTTTTGACTCTTTCCAGCTGGTACATATACCTGTGGCAAAATTAACAATAATAATAGTACTAATAAAGCGAGACACAAAAGAAAAGACTACCCACTAAACCAGCCCGTGGGGTGGCGGTCAAGGAAGCTGGATCCCACACGGCCAGTTGCACCTTTGCAGTCCCAGACCTGGCAGCTTGAGAAACACACCAGGTGTGTGCACGTGTGCGAGTGTGCCTGCAATCCCCAAAGGAGGGACAGTCGGAGAAGGAGGAATTGCAGCGTGATCATTCCCCGTGTTGGGGGGGGGTGCTTTCTCTCTCTCTCTGTCTCTCTCTGGTGAGTGCACATGCTCAATGGCCAAAATTTAAGAGAAGAAGAAAAGAAGACTACATACCGTATGGTCTAGCTATCCGGTGTCCTGACCCAGGTGAAACTACTCTCTAGTGATCAATTTCAGATCTGCAGCCGCCTGTCTGAGGTAGGAGAATGGGTGACGGAGGTGCAAAGAGACCGTGGGGGGACGGAATGTCCCGCGTGTGACCAGAGTGGTTTCTAGACATTTGTAGAACTCCGTCTAACGATATGCTTACGCTGTGACAAGTATGTACTTTTATAAATTCGACTTCTAAATAAAATGCTCATAAATGAAGAAAGTGTCTCTGAATTTCTATAGCTAGGATAAACATGGACTAGACTCGAAGATCAAATCAGTGAGCTGGAAGATAAAAGCGATGACACTTAGGCCCACAGACACAGTGATACCGAGTATTACAGCGGAGCCCAAGAGTCCGGATCGTTCAGAAGAGCCAGTACATCATTGACTCTAGAAAGAGGAAGCAGAGTAGTGGGGAGTTTTTTAGAGGAAAGATTCCATTTTCCAGAGTTGAAAGTCAAGGAGCGTCACACCACAGCTAATACTTGCTGCAGATAAAATAGGACGCAGAAAAAAAATGTTTAAACCAACACAAGTGCTGGTGAAACTTTAAGATTTTCAGAAAAACAAGAAGATTCTAAAAGCTTACTAAACAACTTCCAAAGAAAAAGAATCGACTAGCGTCTTAGTTTACGCCGACGACATCAGTTATTAAGAGCTGGCCGAGCAACGTCTTCAGCCTTGTGGGAAAAGTTGATTTGAAGGCTTGAGGTGGCGGGTCAGGTGGCTGCATCCCAATGGCTGCCTGCACGTTTCGAGTCCCTGACCCGGCAGGCATGGCGCTCGGGGGCCAAGTGTCCCTGACCCCGGAGCCACCTCGTACCCAGGCTAGAGGAGTACTTTTCATTCCTTCTTGAAAGAGAAAAACAAAAACTCTCCCTGTGAGATTTGCCAGAGCCCAGCCTCCCTCCTGGAAATGACTCTGTCTCCCTGTGAGATTTGCCAGAGCCCAGCCTCTCTCCTGGAACTGACTCTACCTCCCCCAAAGACTCCTAGGATGCCCTGGCCTTCTCTGCCTTCCCTTCCACTCACGGGTACCATGAATATTATATTCAATCATCTATTTATATAACCTTTCCATTTTTTATTACCCAGTTATCTGGCCGTCCTCTGTAAGACCTGCCGCTGCCACGTTATCAATCTGAAATTATAATGGGGCGCGGGGTACAACTGCGAAACACCTCCTTACAAGTCGTCTTTGGAGTCCTGAGCGTGTCCTCACCTCAAGGAGGGGCAGGGTACCCATGCAGAGACAAGCAAAATCCAAGCCAGTTAGGGAGAGGCTTCTTCTGTCTTATGTCGCCAGGGGTTGCGAGGACGACCTCGGTCACAGATGTGGCCGACGGCTGTACAAGGCGGTTTCAAAACCTTTGTGGAAAAACTGCTGTGAGGTATGAATTCGCTCTGATGCTAGTGGGTTTTCAAATCCATGCACACTTTTTACCACACACATGTTCCCACGAACCGCATGGAAGGCCCTGCACCACTGTGTAACTCCAAGTGTGCGTGGAGAGCTGTGCTAGCCTCTTAACTGACAGACCCGGTCCCTCCGTGAGCCCCTCAGGCCCACTGCCTAAAAGATCCTCCTAAAATGAAATTTTGATCACGACCCATCCCCTGCTTAAAATACTTCACGGGGTTTGCATTACTCCCGAGTTAGACGCCAAGGTCTCAGCCGTGGTCTGTGAGCCCCCCGGGCCCCTCTCCCTGCCTGGCCTGTGAGCCCCCCGTCCCCTCTCCCTGCCTCTGACGTCGCACCTCCCCTGCTCGCTCTGAGAGTCATCTACTTTAGCCTTCCTTTCATTTCTTGCAAACACTGTCTCCTTCCCCCCAGGAGCCTTTTTAAAAAGTTGTGGTTTTTTTCTGTTTTTGCCTTGGAATATTCTTCCTTCCTTATGCGTCCATTGACTTATTTGACGCCCACTCGCTTTTCACATTTCAGGGCAGCAAACCTTGCCCGAGTCTTCACCCTCACTCGCATCCCCACAGCACACATGCACTGCCCTCCACGAAGCGTGCGCGGTCCTAACTGCCTGTGTGCGAGCAGGCTTGACCCCAGCGCCCCTCCACCGGCCGCGGAGCCCCAGCAGCAGGAGCCGGCGGTCCTGCTCACGGTCCTGCGTGGTTGGGGGGTGAAATGAGCGAGCGGGAGGGTGAGTGAGTGTGCTGTAAGCAAGGGCCCAGCGGCCTGCCTAGACTGAAGCTGCTTCACTGTTTGGGTCAGACAAAGCAGCAGGGATTGGAGAACTTATTACAGGTTTCTGAACTTGATTGTTGAGCCTGAAGTGCGTCTCTCCAGCTGTGTTTCCATCTACCAACTAGAAGCCGTGTGGGAAGACAGGGGCCCGGGTGCAATTTCAGACAAACCCTTACTGTGCACGTAATGTTCTGGGGAGCAAATCCGACTGCGGACGGGGGGAGAGGCTGAGTGCGGGGCGCTGTCCTGGAGGGACATCCCGCACTCAGGCTCTGGCTCGGCGTCTCTGCCGCATCATTTATGACCGGCAGTCTCCTTCCCTCCTGCGGCCCGTCACCCCCGCTGTCGCAGGGAACTGGGCGGGATGTGCCTCTCAGGGTTCTGCAGGCTCCATCCCTTGGAGCGGTCTTCTGAGTCTGCGGAGACTGCCTGCCAGGGGGCCCGTGCTCCCCGAGTGCTCGATAAATAGAGAAAGCGCCCCAGAGGGGAAGCTGTTCCAGAGGAGTCAGAGTACCTCATCCTAGTCGTACCTCGTGACCTCCACAATAGTTACTACGTGTACGGTTCGAGAGACACAGCTCGCAGATGCCACCCACTGTCAAGCACACAGGAGTGCGACTTCAGAGGACGCGGTCAGCCTGCCCTCCTCGCGCTGACGCCTCGTCTCGGGTTAGGGACTGGTGCGGTTGCAGGTGCCAGAGAAGTAGCTCGCTGACTGGTGACGACCCCTGAGAGCAGCAGAGGCTGGCTCTGTCCCCTCGCCGTGTCCTTGCCCTCTGCGGTCACTGTGGGCCCGTGCCGCCCAGGCCCCTGGCGCTCAGGGAGGGCGAAGAGCTCTCCCCAGGGCGCTGTGAGCCGTGAGGAAGGCAGCCAGGCCAGGCGGGTAGCAGGCCCGCTTTCTCCACGTCTCCTGTCTCCCATGTGGGGCTCTGCCAGGGGGCTGAAGTCCTAGGTGTGCAGAAGCCGGGACGGAAGGTCTCTAACGGACAGCACAGCAAGGCTTCCACCGCCCCAAGCCCATTCAAGGCTCCTCTCTGCTACTCGAGTCTGCACGGGAGCCCCGCGGTTCTTTGGATGGGGCTCATGGCCAAGGGGCTCGGTGGACAGAGTGTGTAAAACTCGCTTTGCTGCAGAAGTAGATTCACTCAGATCGTTTGAGAGATACAAGTAAACTTTCATCCTGGTAAACCACTGAGGTGGGGCTATTTGTTATGGCGGTCTGCCACCGTGTCCAACACACTGAGCACCAGGTAACCAAGGTCCTGCCCAGAGCCCGAGGCTCACGAGACTCGGTCTCCCCGGGGGCCTTGCCGACTGTGGTCTAAGTTCTCCCCAGATCTCCGAGTCGCTGGGCGCCTGGCTGAGCCGGCCTGTCCCTCTGCAGAGCGACAAGAGCTTACTGACTGCCTCTGCTGCGTCTCCAGTACTGTCTGTTCCCAGCAGGGCGACCCAGCACGAAGCGCGCTCTCCTCCAGCAAAACGTCACTCTCGCCAGGTCTCTGTCCCGTTGCTGACTTTCACCCAGTGTGGCGTGGCAATGAGCAGCATTAGCTTGCGGAACACAAGGACCTTCAAAGAACACCGGACCGGAAAGCTGCTGTTTGGGATTTGGTCCCGCACGTAATGGCGTTGGGGAGGTGAGGCCTTTGAAGAGGGGAAGCCTCGTGAGCAGTGGCTGGGTCACGGAGATGTTTAGATGGTGAACGGATTAATGTTGTCTCCTCAGACGGTGAGTTCTAGCTCTCATGAAAAGGGTTAGTTCCCACAAAAGTGGGTGGTTGCAGAAGGCGGCTGGCCCGGGTCTCCCTCTCAGCCTTGCGTCTTCACTTCTGTGGGCGTGCGGTGAGGTACCCCAGAGGTTAGCCAGGTCCTCGCTCCATGCCTTCGGACGTTCCATCACCAGAACCGGCAAGAAAATAAACCTCTACTCTTTGTTGTTGCTGCTGTTGTTTTCCATTTGCTGAAGGGCACGTGTGCTTGCCAGAGAGAGAGAAGAAAGGTAAGAAAGCACCCCCTTTGCTGAACGGTCATGCTGCAATCCCTTCTCCCCCGTTTCTCCTCTGATTTGGGGCACACATGCACACATGCCTGGAGTGTTTTTTGCGCTGCCAGGTCCGGGACTCAAACCCATGCAGTCAATCATGTGGGATCCAGCCTCCTTAACTACCATGCTACAAGCTGGCCTTAAACCTCTACTTTTTATAACTCACAGTGTCAGATACTTCCGTTAGCACTTCAACAGCAGACTCAGAAAGATGTCTTCCAACTCGACTCCACCCAGTGAAACTGCCAGAATGAACCCTTACACTTACCGTAGTCCTTTTCCTTCCTAACCTTCTGCTCAGACCACCCTTAATTTAAGAACATGGAAATCTCTCCCTGTTGTATGTTATTCCCCACTTGAAATTTAATAAAATTTGGTTTCAAACCCAAACTCATTTCCAGGTCCATGTTTGCAATAACATATCCACTAAGGCCGTTTCTGGTTTCAGGGTCCTTTCGGCAAAGACACAAAAACACACAATTGCTACTGCAGGAGATTTATGGCCTAGAGGAAAAGATAAGACAAATACACACATAGTTATAAATCAGATCAGTTATCACACCTCCCCAACCAGGCCACTTGGTTCATGCCTGCACGGGATTCTGGGAAAAGGGGCAAAGGTGAGCCAGCGCTTCCTCAGTCTAACCACTCCAGAGTTCTGGGGGAACTGAGAGTCATTTTCCCTCGGAAGGGAGAAGAATCCTCAGTCCATAGTTTTTAATTTTACAACAGCATTCCTTTTCCCCACGGACAGAGAATTAAATCTAACTCCGTACTCCAGCCCCTCAGGACTAAATTGAGGCTATAAAGATGATTCCAATTCAAGGTTCCCTTGGTTCTGGGAGCTTACACGGGAGCCCTGCAGTGTCCATTCTTCGCTGGGAATGTCTGTGCATGGTTTCATATTTAACACTACTTTGTTATGGGAGTTCTAGTTAAACGACTCAGCATAGTCACCTTTGGCACTTGGCTGCTGGGGTATTGCATCGTAAGTGACGTACAAGGTAGAAAACAACTTAAAAGTCTTCTCAGACAGCTTGACTTCACCGGACTGCTCGTTCTATCAGACGATATAAATTAGAATTGGGATGCCAAAAAGAATATTGCAATTACAGGGCTCCGTTTCAGGGCTGATATTTGATAGTTAGTTCACTTTCATTGTTAAATATCCACCAAAAATGCAAATACTTTCACAATAGTACAATCTCTGAATCGAAGGCTCAGATTTTTGTTAGAATCTCAAACAAATTGATAAATTGAAAGAGAGGCTCTTTTCACTTGAGACGCATTTTTAGTTTTCTGGATGCTTGTTTTCTCTTTGTCCTTTAAGCATTAATAGGTATAATCTTCATTTTACTGTATTCCTAAAGAAAATTAAATTGCATTACTATTTACTTTTTAAATAAAACATAAATTCTAAGTATCCACTCTGACTCACTGACTTTATTCCTTTTATGTGGAAGATGTAAAGATTAATAAGAAACTGGGTGAGTTGGAACTACTTTATCTATACTTAAGAATGAAAAATGAAAATGTTATACATACTTTGTAAGCCTTCTATAGTAGCTCCACTAAACCGATATTCAAAAACAGCTGAAAACAGAAGATCTTGGCTAACCCTCGTCTAAATTGTCACTGGTACCTTTGAAGCATCACATTTATGTTTCAGTCTCCCAGAAACAGCTGCATTTCAATCAACCCTTTATGTTAGAATGCTCCCCAGAGAGAGAGTGGGGCCTGCCAACTGCACGCGTGTTCTCTCTATCTACAAGACTCTCTGGAATAAAAGCATGGATTTTCAGAAACTGCAGTGGACCTTGGACTCTCCACTTGTCAGTTAGACAGCCTGCTCACCATTTGACAGATGGCATCTGCTTGAATACCAAGAAAAATCTCAATCAGGCTTTGAAGAATAAAAATATAATTTAAAGTAACTCACATTTTAATAAATTGAATAACAGACGAGCCAATAAGAAGTAACAGGGGTTAAAAGAGCTGGATCCCACATAGCCAACTGCATGGTTCAAGTCTGAGATTCAGTGGTTTGAAAAACACACCAAGCATGTGCATAAGCATGCTCAAAATCCCAAAAGAATGGAGGAATAAAATAGAGGGGATTTCAGCACTGACCACACCTGACGGGGAGGGGTCCTTTCTCCATTTCACGCTCTGTCTCTCTGGTGAGTGGATGTACCTTCTGGCAAAAATTAAAAAGTAAAATGACAACACACATAGTTATAAATCAGATCAGTTATCACACCTCCCCAACCAGGCCACTTGGTTCATGCCTGCACGGGATTCTGGGAAAAGGGGCAAAGGTGAGCCAGCGCTTCCTCAGTCTAACCACTCCAGAGTTCTGGGGGAACTGAGAGTCATTTTCCCTCGGAAGGGAGAAGAATCCTCAGTCCATAGTTTTTAATTTTACAACAGCATTCCTTTTCCCCACGGACAGAGAATTAAATCTAACTCCGTACTCCAGCCCCTCAGGACTAAATTGAGGCTATAAAGATGATTCCAATTCAAGGTTCCCTTGGTTCTGGGAGCTTACACGGGAGCCCTGCAGTGTCCATTCTTCGCTGGGAATGTCTGTGCATGGTTTCATATTTAACACTACTTTGTTATGGGAGTTCTAGTTAAACGACTCAGCATAGTCACCTTTGGCACTTGGCTGCTGGGGTATTGCATCGTAAGTGACGTACAAGGTAGAAAACAACTTAAAAGTCTTCTCAGACAGCTTGACTTCACCGGACTGCTCGTTCTATCAGACGATATAAATTAGAATTGGGATGCCAAAAAGAATATTGCAATTACAGGGCTCCGTTTCAGGGCTGATATTTGATAGTTAGTTCACTTTCATTGTTAAATATCCACCAAAAATGCAAATACTTTCACAATAGTACAATCTCTGAATCGAAGGCTCAGATTTTTGTTAGAATCTCAAACAAATTGATAAATTGAAAGAGAGGCTCTTTTCACTTGAGACGCATTTTTAGTTTTCTGGATGCTTGTTTTCTCTTTGTCCTTTAAGCATTAATAGGTATAATCTTCATTTTACTGTATTCCTAAAGAAAATTAAATTGCATTACTATTTACTTTTTAAATAAAACATAAATTCTAAGTATCCACTCTGACTCACTGACTTTATTCCTTTTATGTGGAAGATGTAAAGATTAATAAGAAACTGGGTGAGTTGGAACTACTTTATCTATACTTAAGAATGAAAAATGAAAATGTTATACATACTTTGTAAGCCTTCTATAGTAGCTCCACTAAACCGATATTCAAAAACAGCTGAAAACAGAAGATCTTGGCTAACCCTCGTCTAAATTGTCACTGGTACCTTTGAAGCATCACATTTATGTTTCAGTCTCCCAGAAACAGCTGCATTTCAATCAACCCTTTATGTTAGAATGCTCCCCAGAGAGAGAGTGGGGCCTGCCAACTGCACGCGTGTTCTCTCTATCTACAAGACTCTCTGGAATAAAAGCATGGATTTTCAGAAACTGCAGTGGACCTTGGACTCTCCACTTGTCAGTTAGACAGCCTGCTCACCATTTGACAGATGGCATCTGCTTGAATACCAAGAAAAATCTCAATCAGGCTTTGAAGAATAAAAATATAATTTAAAGTAACTCACATTTTAATAAATTGAATAACAGACGAGCCAATAAGAAGTAACAGGGACCAGCACTTATCGTAATGGCTATGTCGCTGGACTCCCAAGTAGTCGACCACGGTTCACGTCCCGGACACAGTGGCTTAAACTCACGCCGAGCGCATGTGCGTGCATGCCCAAGATCCCAAGAGGAGAATTTAGGAGAAGGGATTGCGGCGTGGCCATCCCCCCTGGGGGGTGATTTCTCACTTTCTATCTCTCTGTCTCTCTCTCTGCCTTAACCACTATACCACCTGTTGGCCCAAGAATTAAATTTTTTAAAAGTCAATAGGAAAAAAAAACATTTGTGTGGGTCAGTCTACGGCCTGGTGGTTAAAAGAGCTGGATCCCACATAGCCAACTGCATGGTTCAAGTCTGAGATTCAGTGGTTTGAAAAACACACCAAGCATGTGCATAAGCATGCTCAAAATCCCAAAAGAATGGAGGAATAAAATAGAGGGGATTGCAGCACTGACCACACCTGACGGGGAGGGGTCCTTTCTCCATTTCACGCTCTGTCTCTCTGGTGAGTGGATGTACCTTCTGGCAAAAATTAAAAAGTAAATGACAAAAAAATTAAGGAAAAATGTTTAGCATCAAGGATATTAAAAAAAAAAAAGAAAGAAAAAGAAGAATTTGACTCAGCAATTCCACTAGAATATTTACAGTACTGAAAATGCAAACAAATCAATTGGCCAAGAGTAGGCTATTTAATATATTTGTTATAGATCATAGTTATGGTACGAGGGGGAAATATGTAGCTTTTAACAATGATGACATGCATTTTTGGCATGAAAGTACAGTCGTAATATATATGCACACACAGAAAAGAAATTCTGAAAGATGTATCATAGTACGGGCAGTAGATTTCTCTTGGTAGAGACTGAGAACTCTTTCAGAAGTTTGCTATCAGATTCTACATACTTGGCAACAATCAGGTATGGCTTCTAATCACACACACCACGCGCCCATACAGCTCCAGAGGTTGCATAGCTTAGGGGCCGACTTGTTAGAGCTCAGTGATGCTCGGAGGAGCCACAGCAGTAAAGACAGGGAGCTAGAGGTCTCACACGTGAAACACTTTCCTGTGAGCTCTTCTTGTGCATATGTATATTCTGCAAAACTGAAAAAGAAGAATGCATAGCACGTATTGGAATTAACTGTGTGTTTGTTAGAGGCCTATGTTCACGAGAAGACTCTACCTCGCATGTAAGTGTGAGTATCACAATAGATGTGTCTCCGTTTCCCTTAGGGATCAGATCCGAGATACAGGAGAACGTGGTAGACGGGGCTGCAATAGTAAAACTGGATGGCGGTTTCTATAGTGGAAAAGAAGATTCTGTAACTGACCCAAAGTTTCGATCTACAGTTCCCCCAAAGACCTTGCCTCCTGCTGTGTTTATTAATAATTTAGTCACAGCGGTGCACAAAGGAAGTGGTTTGTATTTACAGAGACAATACTGAAACTTGTGTTGAAGATACACAATCTAGCGATAAAAATGTATGCATCTTATAGTACACCACTCACTATCTTCCTGTGTTGACTACAGCCCTGGTAAGTCTAAGGCAGTTATTTGTAAAGACTGGGCTGTAATAGAAAGAGCACTTGCTGATTTCATGGTTCTCATCTTGTCTCTGTTCCCGAGTACCCCTGTGATCTCAGGCAAGAGACCAACGGAAAGTTCAAGGTTCAA